CTGAACACCGTTTGCAGAGAACACCTTTCTGCGTAGGCGGCCTTCGACCGAACTTAAAGCAAACAAATCGGGCGGGACCAACACCGCCTACGTAATGGGCAATATTTTTGCACAGGGGTTCGTGACCGGAAACCCTCATTGATAATAATAGTCCCCTTTCAGACACGTCAATTCTTGCTTTCAAGTCTGCTCGTTCGTTGGTGAAGGAGGTGGGAAGAGAGGGGAAGAGTACAGATACCTCCGTACCGTCAATTCGTTTCAAGTTTTCTTGTTCTCTTTTGATCTTTTCGTTGCTTCCCATTTAAAGATCCGAGGACTTGAATTCAATAAAACTTGACGCGTGTGCAAGCAAAGAGAAAACACAAAAAAGAATGCGATAAAAATTGCTTTCAAGACTTGACGTGTCTGAAAGGGGACATACACGCCCAGAATAAAAGTAGCGGTAAATTTTAATTTTCTTTTGTATTGATTTCCCCTGTATTCCTTTTTAAACATTGCCTTCTTTGTATGTATTGTTTTGTACAATATGGCAACACATGTTATATATCAGTTTGCAACCATGTGTTATTGTAAATATGGGTGCAATTCAATGTAATTTACGAGTCGATAAAAGTTGAATTAAACTGATTTATAAATAAGATAAAATAAAATAAAAGTGTGTAAAGTATTAAGTACAGTGTTATGTGCATTTATATATATGAAAGTATGTGACAAATGCACTTTTTGTTAAGGAAACCAAGTGGAACGACTTAGGAAGTTTTAACAACTAATAACTTATAAACAATGATATTTTTTATATTTTTTAGTTATACCAGTTTTAGAGGATACCTCCCTTAACATCTTGACCAAGTTTCATTTGTTAATTCCACCTGGTTTTCTTAAAACACAAGGTGCGGCTGACTACTAAAGCCCACGCTGTTAATTTAATGACAGAGCTGTAAAATGATTGAATCGGTAGGATCTGCATCAGTGTTGCCACAGACACAGTTTTTCCTACCAAAACTTCCTACCAAAATCAACCAAAACCTACCAAAATTTTATTTAATTTTTTAATATTTTTTTTAATAACAAGGCATCGAGATTTATGCATAAAAATCGTTAAATCGTTATTGAAATAACAGATTTCTAAAATAATAGCTAGAGAAGATATCGCCTAGCAAGGCAATGCCTTCAAAGAATAAACTGTTTTTTCGCTCTCCTGTAAAATTTGAGTGCCGTAAGATAGGCCGTTTTGCAATTGGACGATGGGCGGTTTTGCAAAAACATCGACTATATTATCACAGCGAACGGCAGTGCGCGCGAGTTACGAAAGCAGCCACAGTAGCATGCTGAAATGACTCGCTTATATATACACGAGATTTGGAAGTTTTTACCCAGACGTCCAGTCGACATGTTTGATATATCGTTGGAAAGGTCTTGCGGAGTGTGTCCAGAAAATATATTCCAGCTTCGTAAACGATTGACCGGATTCTTAAAAATTAGGCTAAAGTGTTGCGAAACAAAAAACGTTTTTTTGATTTTGCCGGTTTAAGGGGGCATGTGGAAACACCCAACTTATTTAGTGTTATTCTATAGGCCAAACGATACCTTAAATATTAAGTTCCGGCCACTAGTTGGAAAGATATAGAGGTATATGTGTTTTGGTTCGTGTCTCCACTACGAGATGCTTTGGTATGTATGTGGCGTCTGTACGTACCATCATTTAATTTTTTTCAAACTTTCAGGAATTAAAGTACAAAAAAAAACTAAGAAGGTTTTGTTCCAGGATGTTTTGATTCGTACGCCTTTGTGGGCTGCTGCCTGAAATTCGAAAAAATGCAATTTTTTAAACTACAACTGAGGCCGCACTAGTCAGTCCATGTCATGTGGATATCAGTAGAAGGGTCTTCAAACAAGCTATCTAACGCTATCTTTTGTGTTTATAAAATACTAGCAGACCCGGCGAACTTCGTCCCGCCCAAAATTTTTATATATTTTATTGAAACTTGTTGGTCCAACATTTTCACCAACAATTCACGTTTACGATTTTCATTGGCACATTTGTCTGCTAAGATTACGGTTTGGTGGTCATTTGCCACTTTAAAAAACCTAAGGAAAAAGGAAAGTGTTATATCCGTTCTTGAAATTCTCCAGTTGTGCGGCATTTCATAGCACGATTATTCGCAAAACGAAATAAACTTTTTCCTCTTCACTCCCTGGCGGCAACAATGACCCGGTTCTATAGTGAATGTCCTAGAAGCTTTACAGTATAGTAGGTGGCAATTTCAAAATGGGTGCGAATCATTGTTCTACAGAAATGCAATATACATATACTTATTTTAGACGAAATACCTTAAAAGTTTGAACGCATAATAATATTGGAAAATCACATCCATTGGGCCAATTGCAACGCAGGAGCGTTCGATATACTCAATGGTGCAACAGGTCGATTTAATCTGACCTTCACGGCCCCTTTTCTCACTTGGCTATTTTTAGTAATAGCTCGACTTCAGCACCACTTGGCAGCACGTTTTTGCAATAGTATTGCATACATATTTAAAACATTAGCCAAATCGGATCATAAATAAGATTTTTAGTAATAACAGCGCCAAATGTCGGATTAAATTGTGAAACTAAACTATCCAGAGACCCACTCAAATACACAAAAAGTTTCGTTAAAATCCGTACAACCATTTAGGAGGAGATCACTCACAAACACACCTACAGAAGAATAAAAAAATTCATTCAAAGATAGCTGAAGGTCAGTACGTTTGTAGGCCTCACACCCCTTTTCAAATAGCCCAAATTTTCTCCATGAGTATATGCTTGATTTCAACTATATACATATCTCCATACGAAGTTCCAGTACTGTACCATGAATACTTTCAGAGATATGCAGTATAAAAATTCGATTTATATGGGAGGTGCCATGCCCCCCTTTCCAAGAGATGCCTTCTTTCTTCATGAGTATGCGATTGACTTCGCATATCTCCATACCAAGTTCCAGAACTCTACCATGAACACTTCCAAAATAGGCAGTATGAAAAATTCGGTTTGTATGGAAGATTCCACGCCCCCTTTTCCAATAGTTCCAGTTTTTCTCCAAGAGTATGCGATTTATTTCGTACATCTCCATACAAAACTCTAGAAGATAAGAAGTATGAAAAATTCGGTTTGTATGCGAGATGTCACACCCCTTTTTACAATAGCTAAAATTTTTCTCCAAGGGTATGCGATTGATTTCGTATATCTCCATACCAAGTTCAAGAAGTCTACCATGTACACTTTCAGAGATATGTAGCATGAGAAATTCGGTTTGTATGGGAAGTGCCACGCCCCCTTTACATATAGATTTTTTTTCAGCCTAAAACCATCCTTGGGACACGTGCGGCTGGTGGCAGTTTCGGTTCAGCCGCTCTCGAGCCTTGCGAAAACTAACAAACGGCTTTCTAAATATATATTACTTGAGATATATTATATATTATAATTATATTTTGACAGTATCCGTTGTTTCTGATTGGCGCAAAAAAATCTTGCCTAGTGACGAATTCGCCCCTTGATATGGTCGTTACTTAAAGCTATTTATATTCGAAGTTGCATGAAAATTGGAAAACAGGAATCTATAAGCTTATCCATGTAAAAAGCTACCTACGTACCGAATTTTAAGCAAATCGGACCATAAATACGATTTCTTCGAACAGATCGGTCCCTGGTCCACTTCTCGGACAAAATGGATCATATATGCTAATATATGCTAAAAAGCTACCTGCGCACCGAATTTTAAGCAAATCGGACCGTAATAAGATTTTTTCGAATAGACCGGTCCCTGGTCCACCTACCCGAAAAAAAGTAAAATTTTTTAGCCTAAAACATGGTGGTTACCGAAAGCTATTTGTATACAAAATTTCATGAAAATCGGACTAGTTGAAGTTGATGTATTGCACATATCGTCGTTTAAAGTGCAAAACCGCGTATCAACAAAATGCAAAACCGCGTATCAGCAAAAATGCAAAACCGCGTAATTGAACTTGTAGAAATTATTTTCTAGAGCGTAAAACACTCATATTTCAAAATGGTTCTCTTTTTATAAAGCAATCGCATTTCTGGCTAGTATATTTCAGGATGAATGGATAAGGATTGAGCAAACAGCTTGTGTGAGCAAATCCAATTTTTGGCAGCCAATGTCAGTTACGCGGTTTTGCAGAATTACGATACGTGGTTTTGCAGAATTACGATACGCGGTTTTGTACTTTAAACGACGATATAATTCTTTTACTGGGGTTCATATATCAGAACTATCTCTGAACTAGTGCAAAACGATTGCAGATTGGGACAGTTGAACCTTGCGGTGTAAATATGCAAATCAGGGACGTGAACCGGTTTTGAACCGGAAAACCGATTTTTTCTATTAATTAACTGAACCATTAACCGAACCGAAACTTTCCACAAATGTTTCCATAAAGGTTTAAAGGTTCGTTTCAACCAATTTTCAATAGATATTTAAATGTAGATACCAACTTTTTCCTTGTTGTTAAACATGGTAATACCTACCATGTTTGTTTACCATGTGACAATATCAAATGTAAAGGCAACCCATCTCATTTGACAGACACTTGACCCTTAACCTTGCGCGTTGTTGCACTTGACACTTAAACTTCCGCGTTATTTTTTTTGTTTTTGGAACCATTGAACCGAACCGAAACCCCGGTTCAAAGACCAAAAACGGTTCGAACCGCTGTACCGAACCGACCAAATTTTTCATCCGGTTCACGTCCCTGGTGCAAATGCTCAGTACTCGTACAATACGAAAGTAGCTCAGCAAGAAGACCTCCGCCTCAAGCATCGTTGATCGCGAGTTCAAATCGCGGTGAAGGTGAATTTAAATAGTAGCGTGCAGCTTACAAATTATTATTATTTTTTTAATAAAATATGTAACAAAAATGGAAGGGGTAACAGAAACTAAAAAACGAAAAAAATCTAATCCTAAAAACGTTTTCTTTAAAAAAAAAAACCTGTCCAAAACAGAACCGGTTAAAAACTGGTTGCAAAGTAATGCCCTGGGCGACAATTGCCACCGCCAATGACATCGACGTGCAAAACTGCACAGTTGAAAGCATTGCTTGGGTGTTGAGCTAGAACTAGTACTGTCGGCAAAACGTCTAGTTCTACGCTAGTTCTGAGCTAGTCAGATTTTCTGTAGGGTAACAGTACTTTGATGCAAACACGTGCGGGCCTTTTTTGTATACATACATATGTANAACAGTACTTTGATGCAAACACGTGCGGGCCTTTTTTGTATACATACATACATATGTGTGTATGTATCTACTTGTGGCCATGTCAACTTTGACACCACTTCTTCATTTTTACAAGCGAAAGCTCAAACGAGTGGTCACAAATAATCCAAAAATAAAATGCGAATGACAAAGTAACAGAATGTGGAAATTCTAACAACAAAAACAGGGGCAATTGCAATTGCACATTTGTCACACGATAACGACATTCGCTCTCGCAATGCGTCTGGCACGATTTTGAACAAGTCTGCCGAGGAGCATTCGGCACAATTCGTAAGTAATTTACAATGCATTGCGCAAACTTAAAAAAAAAAGCTTTACGAAAAATCAAGCAATTGCAGTATCATTATAAAAGTTCTAGCTTTCGTGAGGCGCAGATAGATGTCCACTGTCAATGCATTCATCGCATGAAGAGAATTGCAAGTTACTACATACATACTGTTACATATGAATAATGTTGCTTCAATGTCTGACGCTGCTGCTTAACTAGTATCTATGTGATCGTACCGCTGCTGGTACTGCAGCGACAACCGAATGCAATTAGCACGATTGCTCTTGTAACATATAAGTACATACATACATACTTACATATGTATTTATAAACACTTTTATCTGCATACCTACACGCATATGTAGGTACATTAAATTAGCACATACAGCATTTAGTTTTGGCATAAGCTAATACTATGTAGTGGACACCATCCCACCCCCTTCGAAACACATCTGTTCTTCACACCTTTGTTTTATTTTCACTCACTGACCTCACCCCCCGTCCATGGCGATAAACTTTTTCCCTTTGCCCTTGTGCTTTTACGCCCGCTTTACCCGCTTTCAGCAAATGCAACTCGCAGTAATACGATTGCTGATGACGTCACATTCTGCATTCACTAAATCTTTGGCGGAGAAGGTGGCACCAGCGGGGTGGCAAAACACAATTGGTTCGCAACTTTTGCTGCGCAGCGCAAGTGTTTGCTTGCACGTAGAAACACCTACCTTCAACTGCATATGGGCAACAGCAGTGACGCTTGCAGCGCACAATGGGACAAGATGTTGCTTATGCGAGTTAAGTTAATAAAAAAAAAATGGGAGTCCGAAAAAAATAGATTGTGATTTGGTGCTACCATTGCATACTCAGTTGGTTTACTTACGGCAGTGGCAGAGTATCTTAATAACTCTTAAAGATTTTTGATAGATTTTTGTAAGAACGTTTACTTACTATTATTTAACCTTTAACTTTATTTTTTATATACAATTTTTAAACTTGTTTACGATATCTCCGGGAAGCCCTCTAAAATATGTGGTTTAGACCATATCTCTCGAATCATTTTAAGGGCCGGTAGCTTAAAGCCTGGTTGACGCTAATCATCAGTTAACATCGTTGTCGAAGTTTTCGACTATATGCATATACCACGGTGTCGGTAACGTCGTTAACAATGTTTAACCGGGGATTAGTGTCAACCAGGCTTTAAGCAACCGGCCCTAAATGAAAAACAAACAAAAAGATTTAGTTAGTGCCAATAATTAAGTTTTGGCCTTACGTAAACCCTTTGAAACAGATAATGCTTTACAGAAAAATTAATCTTGGATGACATGATGAAAATACATTTGAAAAGCTTGTGTGGAAATTTGAAACAAAACGATTGAGCTGTTCTTGTTTATTGGCTTTGAATCCACTGTTGTTAGAAAAACGTTGTGTTGTTTTGAAGAAGAAGGGCAAGAAGCAAAAATATGGTGCGAAATAGTGACATAAATCTAGGTAGAAATGTACCTACTTTTAAATTTGAACGTATTTTCGGTATAAGCACATTATTTTAGGTACGTTTGGAACGTAGCCAAATAACTTACCGGCACTTTTTCTCTTTTTTTTCAAAGAATTACAACGCGTTATCCAGTGTGAAAATTCCAATAGCCTCCCTCCTTTGTAAAGTGGCATAAACATTGGTTAAAAAGTAGGTTTGGCTTCAACTGCTCGGACAGTCCGCGGCCCGCGGAAGGCGCCACCTTTGTTTCGCTTCATCGTAAGTTCTGACTTACATATATGTATATATATATATATATGTAGGGATGGTTTTATGAAAAGCCTTTTCAAGGCAGAATATAATTTTCTATTATAGGCCGATAGACGGCTGCTATTACAAAATGAGCACTTGGCTTAGGCTGTGGAAGCCATATGGAAAATTTTAATTATGTAGAGGGAAGTTGAGATTTGCTAAATCTATGCGGAAAACTGTCCAAAATCGTCATATTAGTCAGGACATTACTTACAAAAATGTAAGTTCAGACCAAAACCAGTTTGTTTCCAAACCAAAATATACAAGGTATGACGGAAGTTCTAAAGTACATCATACTCCGACCGCGTCGGAAGTATCAACAATCAAAAGAAAACAAATCGTATCCGAAATATTTTTGGAAATTTAAGTAATTTTTCAGGTTCTTGTGGTATCCTCAAACGGGAAGGACTCACCGAAAAATGATCGAAAATGGCATCACAAAACGAATGAAATACTAGACACAAATGCTTGCAGCGTATTACATTGGCCTTGATAGTTTTTTATTTAGCAGTTACAATTTTTAGTTTAACTTGTGAAGAAACGAGCACACTGTGCTACTGTTTTGGCTCACGGCGCGCGTTCTTCGTGCTGGCTGAAATGTGCCGCCGTTGCCGTTGCTTTTGCTGTTGCCATTTGCCATTGCAGTAGTAGCCGTCGTTGTTGGGGCGCCGCCGTCGTCAATGCAGCTTTTTCAGTTTTCGCTTAACGCTCGTTCAGTCAAGTTGATTTTGCTGCACCGTCGTTCACTATTTAATTCGCGTCGCATACAAAATACAAAAACATATACACACATACACACATTCACATATATACACATATCGACTCACTCAAAATACATATACGCCGCGTCGCATCACACTCTGCGCCTAAACCGCGAACGAGGGCAGCCGTCTGAGTGGCTTCAATTTATTGTATATTATATAGCGCGGTGGTGGTAATACGATAACAGGTGCGACAGACACAGCATTACGATTGCTAGCAGCCACTGTGCATTTGGCGGACGGTGTCATCATCATCAAACGTCGTCAACACTCTCGTCGTCAGTCTGGTCGTCAGCGACGCGCAACTGCTGCGCCGCCCGCTGTCCGCATGGCGCGCAAGGATGATCCTGTCTTGAATGTGCGCTTTGTGCAATTGGTCGAAAACCATCCGTGCCTTTGGAACTCGACGCTACCAGCTTACAGCAAGAAGGACGAAACCCAGAAGGCCTGGCAGGAGGTCGCCAATGAGACGAAAGACACTGGTATGTAAGCGAAAAGCATTGTTTGCCTGCTGGCTGGCGCCGTCGCAGCTGCTCCCATTTCGTCTTTATTGCTAATAACCATAATTGTTGTTAGTGCTGGCATTGTTGTTGCAACTGTGTGTATGCACTATTGCTATTATAATATTTAGCGTTTACAATTTGCTATTGTTGTCAATGCACAATTTTTCTTACTGTTTCTGGTGTTGTTTTCCCATTTGTGTGTGTTCATGCGGTTGAGCTTTCGCATTTACTAGCACTATGGCAAGCTACCAGCTCACAATAGAGCGCAGCGTAGAATTGCGTGCCGTTCGTTCTTCAAAGTTTTTTGCATTCGCATTCGCAATGCATGTACTACACTGCACTTCAACGCTCGCCAGTCGCTCTCACCCCACACCCTACACCTCGCCAACGCTGCGCTCCCCTCACCCGTCATCGTATGCTCATATGTATATCGTACGTCGTACGCAGCTCTACGATTGTCGTTCGCTTGTAGAATATGTTGGTCAGTTGGCACTGGCAGCGCCCTCAATACGCTCAGTTACCATACCCACTGCTGCGCCCCCAACTTCTTACAATGTGGCTTTTCGATAGCGCGAGCTTGTGTAGGTGCCTTCGAGTGGGGCGTCGCACCACGTCGCTTCGTCAGCCGCCAGCCAATCGGTTTGTTTACTTGTTGCCGTGTTTTGCTGCATTTGCATGTGCGACATGGCGCACAAGGATGAGACGAAACGCGACGCAAGGCAGTACGTTAATACATCAGCACGACAACGGCATCGCAGCAAGGCAGCTGCAATTGCAGCAGAAGCTTTGCTTGCTCGCTTGCCTCCTCTATGTACATACCTACATACATAGTATGTATATTGCATTTTCAGTGCTCAGAGCTTTTGTCACACCATACCTTCAACCGCACTCGCATACACTTCAATTATCTTGTGTGGTTTTCACAATCGCTCTCGCTTAGTCTCTCTCGCTGATTGCTGTTGATGCAATTCTATGCCATTTTCAGACACTTTGGGCTCGTATTGCGTTGTTTGCGATTACAATGTTTGTGCATAGAGTTTTATCAATATGTTTTGCTTTATTTTAGTTTTTGTGGCGTTTGCAGCCAGCGCCGCTACGACTTTGTTTGCTCTACGAAATGCGTTTTCCGATATTCGGTGGAGCATTTGCTATTAAAAGTGCGAACTTTAAGTCATCCAAGAACAGAATTGCGCTAAGCANTTAGTTTTTGTGGCGTTTGCAGCCAGCGCCGCTACGACTTTGTTTGCTCTACGAAATGCGTTTTCCGATATTCGGTTTAGTCTAGTTTGAAGTAAGAAAAAGTTCTGAGTACCTATCTCCCTTTTTCGTGCTAAGTGCAAAGTAAGCTCAAAATTAGAAGTGCTTGCACATTCTGAACATGCATATATGTATTCATACATATGGATGAATGTACCCAGCTAGCACATCTGCTAGACAATTTCTGATATCAGACAAGTCGCACAAAAGTTGACTATTTAGANGCTATTAAAAGTGCGAACTTTAAGTCATCCAAGAACAGAATTGCGCTAAGCACTAGTTTGAAGTAAGAAAAAGTTCTGAGTACCTATCTCCCTTTTTCGTGCTAAGTGCAAAGTAAGCTCAAAATTAGAAGTGCTTGCACATTCTGAACATGCATATATGTATTCATACATATGGATGAATGTACCCAGCTAGCACATCTGCTAGACAATTTCTAATATCAGACAAGTCGCACAAAAGTTGACTATTTAGACAAGTCGGCCGCTGTGGTGTAGTGGTAAGCAGTGCGCGCTTTCACTCACCAGCGCCTGGGTTCAAGCCCTGGTCAAAGCAACATCGCAAAAAATTTAAAAAAAGGTTTTTTCTTAACAGCGGTCGTCCCTCGGCAGGCAATGGCAAACCTCCGAGTGTATTTCTGCCATGAAAAACAGCTTCTCATAAAAATACAATCGCCGTTCGGAGTCGGTGTAAAACTGTAGGTCCCTCCGCTTTGTGTGACAATATCAAGGCGCACGCCACAAGATGGAGGAGAAGCTCGGCCAAACACTAACATATGTGTAAGCGCCAATCTATTCTTATTATTATTTAGACAAGTCTTACAGGTTTCGTACAGATTTCTCGGCAAAGTTTCTGGAGAATTTTATTTGTTTCGTTATCCGATTTCGGACAGACAGGTCTTATTATTCTTATTTTCCATTATTTTCTGCTCAGACATCTATAAGATATCCTTCAGAATCGTCGGTAATTAAATCAGAATTTCCCACGACGTGTCGGTTAGACTTCCTGTCAACCTCTCCATATGCTTCTCTGACCGATATCGGCCAGAAATCATAAAGATTTCAGACGTTTTTGCCGCCGAGTCTGACGTATATCTAACAGATATCTGGCAATTTTGCTAGCTGGGTGTATACACATGTACATATGCACATGGATATGTGCTTATTAGACAGGGTCACGGAGAAAAAGTTTGTAATAACCCCAACTGGTTCGAAAGGTTACTTGGAAAGCGTCATAAAATTTTCCGTTCCTGATACGTCCGAAAAACAACCAAAGTCGAGTTTTCCTCATAACTTAGCTTTTATTTATTTGTAAGGCAATTTTGAATTATTATATGCGCCATACGTATAGTATATCGTTAAAAAGATATTGTTAAGTACCTACTACTATATACTTTCATATATAAGATCATATTGCCCTGAGTTACCTTCTTTGTCCAGTTAACTCACAACTTCTACCCATCCAAATTTAATTCTAGTACCGTAAATGTATACTTTATATTAAGTGATGCATTTCTCCGTATTCCTAAAAAGGTGATGTGGGAGCTCATCTTAAAAACTGATCATAAATAAAAAGGGGTAAGAAGAAAATCATTTTTGGCTGGCTTTAGAGCGTGCTAAAGATAGAAGTGTTTACGGCGCATAAATCCTCTCAAAGTAAGCTTTCAAACTAGTGGTCCAATTACAATTTTTTTTTATATAGCGACCGACTCGGTCTAATGTATATACATACATATGTATGTGCCCGTCGGGATATATGTACATAATATTTGGGAGTATTTAGTATAAAGTTTACGAAATTTCCCTGATGATTTAAAGTTCGACATGTGTATCGTATCAAATACAAGTTTTTGGTGTTTCTGTATCCTCTCGAATTGTAAAAGTCCACAACCAAAACACATACAACAATTGCAGTAACCAATACAAATACCTTGTTACGCTTTGGTGCAGGAGTCCAAATGCGTGTTTCTCTTCTGAACTTGCAACAAACCGAGATACCAACAGACCAAACATCGAAATTTCTGTGACTTTCAGAAGTAATCTGGTAGCTCTCTGGTGATATACACAAGGCCAATTTGTTGACCCGTGGAAATGGCAACCAGACTACATCTATCTAAAGCCGCCCACAAGATCGGTATACTACTCACCGGCCAGCTACCTCACCGATTAGTGAGGAGGACCCCGTTACTGTGAAAGGGGAAATTTGGTGGAAAGTTGTCCTTAATCAAACGCTAACTATCAATGGAGTAAGCCGAAATAACGGCGGTAAAAACTCACGGAGTCTTGACTAGATCCTTGGGTGAAGTAGCAAAAAAAGACTAGAAACTAATGGGGGGGGTGGGGTGAAATAACACAAACGGCAATAACGCAAATTTGTGTTATTTCCCAATTGAATGTGAAATAACACAAATTTTTCCTTAGTTCATTTCTCGTTGAGCAATAAGACCAACTTTTAAACTTAACAATTTGAGTAATAAAGCAAAATAGTGCACATATGTAGGTAGTCACCCAGTTACATTTGACAAAAAGTAGTACATGAACAAGTTAAATGGATTTGTAAATATACAATTTTGAAAGTGCCCAGCGTCGCGGCGGCCCGCGTTCGCTCGCCGCCCGCGCCACCCCGCGCCGCGCCGCGTTCGTCGTCGCGCACGCGCTCGCGTCCCGCACTCCCATCCCCTCCATTCGCAATTATGCACTAGTGGCATTATAACCGTTTAGAAAAAAGAAAAATAATGAAATAAAACCAGTTCACTTCTGAAACTGCTTTTCAATGTCTGCATGCATCCCACCCAGAGTGGAATTTACCAGGTGCCACTGCCTTATTTGAAAATTTGCCTATAAAATGTGACTATAAGGCAGCCGAATGTCAGAAAATAAAGCGAGAAAGCAGTTTTATTACTTCATCTGTTTAATGCGACATCGTTCTCTGTAAACATTTTAAGGTTTTCCAGCAATGTTTTTAACATAGTAAAAAGCATGCAGATAAAATTCATACAAAAGCGCTATGTACAATATGCCGAGCAGTTATTGAAGACGATGCTTTCCCTATATTTTGTTAGACTTTTCATAAGTAAAAATATTTTGTGAATATGAATTCATACGAATTATATCACATTTTTTGTTTAATTCAAGGCCTATCAAACAGGTTTAGAGCATTTGAGCAAAAACAACATTTGCCTGTATTTTGTTGTTGCTTCTGGTATCGAAAGTGTCAAAAACTGTTCTGATTTTTTCTTCTACATCAAAGCGTGTCATGTGAAATACAAAAAGATACCAAATTTAAATTGAAAAAATTAAAATTGTTGCAACTTTCTTAGTAAATTGGTTTGCTTCTCGAAGAATTAATCCATCCTGTGCCAGGCCCAGTAATCAGCGGTTGTGCTGCCGAGTTGGGCGAGCGTTCCAAAAGCAGCTATTCATTCGCTGGGTTTGTATGGAAAAAGGTTTAACATGCAAATAGACTTTAACAATTTAGAATTTTTGTGAGAAGAAATTAAAAATGTTTGACATTTTCGAGAACAAATAATTTGAAAAAAAAATATATCAAATCAGCTGCTATACTGATACTACCTGTCCAATGTGCCTTGGTTTAACTGTATTTTTGGAATAAACAAAGTTCTTTTTGCTTCTGTCAGTAAACTGTTTTTTTACAAATAGTATAAATAAGCAATGGGAAATAAAGCAAAACTTGGATTTTGGTATTAGTTCCCATTTAAAAAGGAAATAAAGCAAATTTTGCGTTATTGCCGTTTGTGTTATTTCACCCCCCCGAAACTCATAAATGAAAACAATGAAAAAGAAATAATGCAAGGCCACGCTGGCTAAGATCGTTGAAAGTTTTTCGTAAGACAATTGAAAGCCAGTAGGCAAGATATGTATGTAGTTTGAAAGACTTTGCTTATTCTGGCACGAAGTCAACACACAAACAATCAGAGTCTAAGCGTCTTGGTAAGCACATCACTGTTGACAGTTATAAGTTTGAAAATGTAGACGACGTCGCTTATTTGGGAACCAGCATTAACACCAATAAATATGTCATATAAATATGCGATGACGAATGCCGCAGACGATTTAACGTTGAGCTGTGCGCGCTACCATTCTGCAGCGTCTGAATTCAAGCCCGGTTCAACGCAACATCAAAAAAAAAAGTGTTTGTTTGCGGTCGCCCCTCGGCATGCAATGGAAAACCTCCAAGTGCATTTCTGCCATGAAAAAGCTTCTCATAAAAATACAATCACCGTTCGAAGGAGAAGCTCGGCCAAACACTAACATAGTGTGTAAGCGCCAATCTATTATACTTAAATTACGCGACAGTGTCGCCCTGCCTGTATTACCATTTGATATCAAATGACTTGAAGAGTTACATACTTCCCAATTCTGACGGAGTTGGTAGTATTGATAAACGCCAATTTACTTAGCCGTATTAGTTTCAATGGCATACAAAATTCAGACATCGTGGGATAAAGGCAACTCCGTTTCGTGCTGTCCCCCGGAACTACGTCAAGTAGTTCGTCGGAAGGTGGAATTGAGTTGTTGGCTCTATTCACAGTATCTTGTCTAATATATAACAGCCAGTAAAGTTTTTCTTTTAACCAAACCCAAACGCTCATTTGCTATTAGCTTCGCTTTTATGCTGGTCCTATTAGAGGTTTACGCCGACAGGCTTTGCGGCGGCGACGTGGTCAACTTCAAAAAGAATCAGCGGCGACGCCGGCGCGTCTGGAAACGCCGGCGCTACTGCCCTTAATGTAGATTCCAAAGAGCCATGAGGCTACTAATCTTATTATGTCATCTCGTCAGCATTAGGCATTAAGGTTGATCTACTTTTTCCCAAAAGTTTAACCCATCAACTCGAAACAGAACGGCCCTTTTTGACCCACTGTTTAAAAAAATGGCTTATAGATGGGTTAAATTTCCACTTAAATATTAAGCGCCAAATTTTTATAAGGAGAACCGAATGTAATGAAAAATAATACTAATTGTTACCAAAAAGGAGGAACTTTAACCCTGTGTAGAAAACATTGCGATGCGAAGGAGCAAAACAAGAAAGTCGGAATTTTAATGCTCTCACCCCATAGGATTATTCTATATCAAAAGAAATATACCTCTATTTTACAACGCTTTTATCAACTCGCAATGTTGTGTTCCAGAAACTTTCAATGTTGTGTGTCCGACACCATAAAGCTTTGCTTTGAAAAGTTCCTATAAAAAAGCATAGTGCATAGGGCGACATCTGTAGTGAAGTAGTGCATAGGGCGATAGCTGTAGTGAATAGGGCGAGGTAGATGACATCTAGATGCCGCCCTATGTACTACGTTTGCTACAGCGGAAATAGACGACACGTCATTCTTTAAATAAAATTAATTGGTGCTCGTTTGTATGTACATACATATGTAAATGCATGTGTGTGCACCTTTCTATTAATATCGTTGAATTATTTTAATATCTATTGCAAAATTTTATTCAGACAGGACTAAAAAGTAGAAAATAAATAATATAAAAAAAACTTTTTAATATACAACGCTTTTATAAATGGACTAAAAAGTAGAAAATAATACTTCTCAGTCCCATAGAATTTGTTTTGATAACTTTTGATTTTGAAATTTTAGCAAAAGTCATTATAAACAATCTATGAAATTGAAAATGAAAAACGTGGAGCGCATGCAATACAAAGCATTCGATTTAATTGACAATAGTCAAACTACATAACGTAGACCTAAAATTTCTACAGCGAAAGTAGAACTTTGAAATCGATTTTAAGCGGTCGTTATTCATATACCCACATACATACATTCATATATTACTTTTCATATCAATTCAAGTGTATTACATGCGCCCCACGCTTTTCATTTTCAATTTCATAGATTGTTTATAATGACTTTTGCTAAAATTTCAAAATCAAAAGTTATCAAAACAAATTCTATGGGACTGAGAAGTATTATTTTCTACTTTTTAGTCCATTTATAAAAGCGTTGTATATTAAAAAGTTTTTTTTATATTATTTATTTTATTTTTTTTTTGAAATCAAAATCAAAGCGCTCAAAGTTTTCCATGCATTTTATATGGGGAAAACAAGTTTTCGTAGAAATGGTATGGAATTCTTGAAAATCAATATTTTACGATCAGAAAACTGTGGTTCTCTTCAGGAGACTCCCAATAACAATACCCAATTGTTTATTTCACCATTTTTTAATACCAATTTTTATTTTTTTTTCTTTATTGCATTTTCTGACATTTTCTGAGGGTTTTGGCGGACCTATAAAATATAGTTACTATAAAGGAAGGGTTAAATAAATAATTGGGTAATATTATTGGGAATGGAAAAAAATATTGATTTTCAAGAATTCCATACCATTTCTACGAAAAAAGTTTTTTTTTTCATATAAAATACATGGAAAACTTTGAACGCTTTGAGCGACCTCTAAATATATTTTGATTTCAAAATAAAAAAATAGGGGTCTATTTTTTCGGTATAGAACAATCCTAGGGGGTGAGAGCATAAAAATTCCCACTTTACTTTTTCGCATGCATTTTTGGACCACTCTAATGTACATACATGAATCATAATTGTGGTATATATTTTCCAAACTCCGCTTCGCCCCTTTATCATTCTGGGGGTTTCTCTCTGGGCGATTTAAAATGAAACTCTGGACTGGTGGAGTTTTGTGTTAGGAATGTTATTGTTGCAGTATTTCGATGGTTCTACAGCAGCCAACAGAAATTTTATCACACCCATATTATAAATGTGCTGGATATGCAAACATCTAAGAATTTATGCAACAACTAACATTTGCCTACTCCTCAACAAATACCTTTTGTAAAAAAAACACGTTTGGTTCCAAAATCATCCGATCTTTTGAGTTATCACATACTAGTTATGTATTTACATTTGAAAAACAAGTGTCAATTAAATGAAAACAGTTTCATATGCAATTCTTTTTTACTTGCAGTGCGAAATTGTCGCGAAAGATGGCGCACAATAAGGAGTAGTTTCCTCCGATCGTTGAAGTTGTCACGCACTAGTACTGGTAGAGGCAAGCGTAAATATTACCTATCTAAGTATCTGCAATTCTTGATTCCTTACACAAAGACGCGCCTAAAGAACGGCAGTTCTTCGTCAAGTATAATTGCGCAACGCAAAATGACGCCGCAACCGCCCATGACGCGCATCAATCACATACCATTACCTATAGTCAGCAGTGATGACACCAAAGATTCCAATGCCACAGAGGTGGCAATAGCCGAGGAAGATGTTGTGGTTTCGCTGCATGAAGGAGCTACAACACAGCAGCATCGCATAACTGTGCATCCGCCAATGGCGGCCCCGTGCGCCATACCAGTACCAGTCGTAATTCCGGCACCGACCGCCATCAAAACGGAACAGGGTACAACAACGCCAGAGCATGGACGATGTACAGCAACAGCCGTTCCCAGCATGAATGCTTGTGCCATCGTCGGTGGTGCTACAGGTGGCAGCGGTAATGCGGCAAACAATAGTGCTTTTGCCGCAGCAGCGGATTCGCAACCAACTCCGCGTAGTGCATCTGCCGTCGATCTGACGGAGTTTGCCGAGTGGATTAAAAGTAAAAATGAACATCATCGCCAATGTTTAATGCCCTCCTCACCTGATGCTGATCAATCATTTCTCAACAGCTTGCATCCATTTCTGAAGGAAATGTCCGGGAAACAGAATCGTCGCTTCCGGCAGAAGGTGGTGGCGCTGATTGATGCCATTCTGGATAATGCCGACTGAGGCGTACACGTGCGATGCGTAACGTATAGCAAATGCGGTGGTTAAGGTGGTGTTGATCGTGGTAATGCCGGAAGTGCTGGGAGTACAGAGCCAAGAGCAAGTGATCGTGGACGTGAACGTGAAAGTAGCAGTGGTGAAAACAGGGTAGACCGATGTGAAAGTGAATTGCGATCGCTTTATTTTCACATCGAAGTCTACAATATAAGATTTCAAAAAAAAAAAAAACATTACGCACATGAACACCTTTATACTCTAGCGCCTGAACGCACACTCACACACCTACCTACATACACACAGTTAGACACTAATACATACATTATATACCTGCATGCACACCGAAACATGTGTATTGTGAAATCTGTTGTTTTTATTAGAGAAAAATATTTTTTGTTTCCAGTGGAATTGAAATAAAGGCTTTATTTTTTGTACTCTTTGCATTTTATATTTCTTTACATGAGCTGGTACATACTTTAGCCAAAGAATATCCTTATGTATGTAGAACTTCTACATTATTTACAGGGGTGAGTATTATTTCCCATACAATCTGATGCTCCAGCGATGGGGAATCCTATGTAGAATTGCTCGGTGAATCCGAAATTCGGGTTAATTTGTTTTCTATGGATACATTTTCGAGATATTTGCAGTTTACCGTTATTCAGCTTAAAGCAAAAATTGGTTCCTTTTAATCACGTATATCTTACGAACCAATTTAAAAATCTTAATATAAATGAAAGGCAATGAAATTCTCCATAAACCGTATATACATCACTTTTCGATAGGGCTTATAGTTTCTGACAAATTAATTAATCATTCCAGCTTTTTTTATTTTTTAATGAAAAAATTTAAAAAAATCAAACTTTACAAAAAAAAACTTTTAAAAAAAAATCAAGTTACTGATGAAGGAAATCGGTGGATAAATACGAAATAATGAATGGCCAAATAAAAAGGCGCAAGATTATTTTTATGAAGAGCATGAAAGAATGTTACTCATACGCCGCGTACACCTAAGTAACACGGTTTTCTACTTATATTTCATACAAAAAATCTTTGCGCATTTTCATTTGACCACTCATTATTTCGTATTTATCCATCGATTTTCTTCATCAGTAAAAATTTGGCACAGAACTGTTTTTTTTTTTTTTTTTCTCTTAAAGTTTGATTTTTTTTTTCATTTTTTCATTAAAAAAAAAAAAAAAAATGAATGATTAATTAATTTGTCAAAAACTATAAGCCCTATCGGAAAGTGATGTATGCACGGTTTATGGAAAATTTCATTTGCCGTATTTTATATTAAGATTTTTAAATTGACTCGTAAGATATACGTGATTAAAAGGAACCAATTTTTGCTTTAAGCTGAATAACGGTAAATTGCAAATATCTCGAAAACATATCCATAGAAAAAAAAATTAACCCGAATTTAAAATGCTACCGCTTTGTTTGTACTCGTATGTGCCATATATTAAAATGTATCAGAAAAGCAGAATTTACATATGGAACTAGATGAATATCGTATCAAAATTAGTACCTTTGCAAGCAATAATTATGTGTATCTTGGTATGCCACCGAAATCGATGTTGTATGCATAAGATTTCTACTGGGGCATTGGTGCAACAGATTCTTAACGTACTATAGATACCGCTGCGTGTTTCTTTTCTTCGTAGTGTAAAAACATAACCTAAGAAATAAGTATAAGGATAATCATAATCCGGTGCATATGGTTTGCATTGCATGTTATGGAGCAAATTTTAAATTGACCGTCACTGTAACCATTGCAGCCAAATTCTCGTGTTTAATGATTTAGTTCGTTCGTTAAAGTGAACTAAAATTTTCTGTGGCAACATTCCAATAAAAATGTAAATGTAATTTTAACACATATGGCATATTTATCGTTGTAAGGGCATAAAGAAACAACTGCTCGGAAGCTTTATCAGAAAGACATATTGAATTTTTATTTTTAAATTTTAAGTGCACAATCAGTCTCACAACAATTAATAATAATAATAAATTGGCGCTTACATATATGTTAGTGTTTGGCCGAGCTTCTCCTCCAACTTGTGGCGTGCACCTTGATGTTGTCACACAAAGCTGAGGGACCTACAGTTTTACGCCGACTCCGAACG